ATGAATATTACTTTACATGATAGATAGGCAACATGTGAAAAGAAAAAAGACTTGAGAAAACATTGCTTTACAAACCTTAAGACTTAATAAAAAAATTTATATCTTACGTATGAAAGCATTGTAATGTTTACTGATAATCTGCTAAATTTCGTTAACATTCGCTTACTAATTTAAAAGTTATAGCATGAAAACCATAACAAGCACAAAATGGTTACAAGGTCAGTACTACAGACTGAGCCCGTGCTAAAAGAGTTAATGGCATCTTCGGCCATAATGAAAGATGATATAGAAAAAAAAGGGCTAATTGCTTTTGATTGTCTAAGAGGAATGGGTAAAAACAGACATTAAGCAATTTCAAAGCGTTCAACAAGCTAAGTGAATCAGTATAGATAGCACCATTAGTGTAATGCTCAGTTTTATATAATTCAGGGCAAGAGAGATTGCATACAACTCAGCAGTGAACACAGAATCAATGAGTGAATGTTCTGCTGAATGGGCAACAAAGCAGCACATATGAAAATATATGTGCCCAGGGAATAGAATGGATAGGGTATGTCAGATTCAAGTTAGAGGGTCAACTCCATTCCAAAACCAGTGAAACCAAGAATAGATCATCCTGTCTGGGCAGGGAGCCTTAGTAGCATCATAGTAACAAAGATTGCAAGCAAGTTTAATGGCAATGGATTTGTTTGTTGGTTTGTAGTTCACAATGGGATAACTCTGCTCTGTCCACCAGGGGTATCGAACATTCGTTTCTAGTGTTGGAAGTCCACAGACTGTGCCACTGGAAGGCATGGTGATGAGAATCAAATCTAAGACTCTCAAACCAACAACCTCTCAATTAATGTAGCCTTGTGCTTAACAACAGAAAAACATATTGCCAATATTTAGATTACTTGGAATAATCAGAAACGTAAAATTATCATAAGAACTAATTTGAAGTAGTTGATTATTTTCATAAAAATTGGTTTAACTATAGTTTTGATTAATCAAATTTTTGAAATAATGAAAACTAATAACTGAAACACCAATTTCAATTAGTTAATTACTTTCAGGACACTAATAGATTAATCATAATGAAGGGCTACTGTCGCATGATGATGTCATCATACACAAGCACAGTTCCTATTTTTTATAATACATTCCGCAAGCCTTCTGTACTACCCTATTGAAATCAAAGATTCCATCATGTCTCTCATGCAAATCATCATGCATCATATCTCCACCAACAAGAGAGCATGATACATGTGAGTCCCTCTATGCGCTACTACTAAACCATCACTTTGAAGTTTGGCAGAAGACGTAAGCACTGGAAGATTGTGGGTAGGAGGGTGGGAAGTGTGACAAGAGGAAAGTACCTATTGGAAATATATTTTCAGTATAGGAAAATTATAACTTCAGATACAGTACTTCCCTCCACTCACAAGATTAGCTAGAATCCCACATTCATAAGGAGGAGAGAGTGGTGCAAGGGAAGAACAGATGTACCTCCCCCTGAAAGCATCTGAATGATACTTCTGTATGTGACAGAAACAGAACAGATGGTCTGAGAAGGGGCACCACACCACTTTTGAACCAGGTATCTCCCCACCATGAACAGCTAGGAACAAACATGGTGGAAAAGGAAAAAGGAAGGGAGCAGATTCAATATAGAAACTCAATCCCACAAAAGTAAAGTGGGTAATGGAGGATGCAACCCATGGTGTAGAACATGTCATCTGGTATCCGAGGGAAGTCTGTTGCATGCAATCAACTCCCGTGACCATGAGACTGATCTGATACGTCCAAAGGTCAATAACATCCCCATCACAAGAGAGAACGAGGGAGTGCTCAGGACAGAAACAGAAACATCCCATGTATACCCTTCGTAACCCACTACACAGAAGGAAGAATCGAGGGAGGAAGATGGACAACCCCAAACCTGTGTGAGGACTTAAGTTGATTGGTTCACTCGATATCCAAAAACAGCCTGCAAGGTACTGACATCCACATAAGGAAATCCAGTCGAGGCGTGAACTGCATTAAGACATCTCACTTCATAGTACACCAACAGAACACCAATGCCCTACTCTGAACTGAATGGTTATAGCCATCTATGTGGAACCCATCTAGCAGGATGCCTCGATGGTCAACCACCCCAGCAGCTTAGAACTAGCAAGTGATAAGGACTCCTATACTCCACTGGAATAAAGAGGGAGAGAGAGCATTGGAGAGTCCAGAGGAATGGCTACTGGCTACACACATTATAGTGCAATAGGTGATCACAAAACCCTATGTTGAAAAGAAGACCATACTGATTTATTGATTTGAGGCATGGCAGTGATGGGCAGCTATCCCCTTCTGCTTTACCCATGCTGTCCATGGATGTTATGGTCTGGGATGGGTCTATTTAAGAAACAAATATCACAAGGTTATTTGACCATTCAGTAATCTTGTGAAAAACCCCATCTTGAAAGTGGTGGAGCAATGGAGAGAGCACGCAAATCAACATGGCATACAGTATGGATTTGTTTGTGTATGTAAAAAATACCTGGTCAGGCACCACTTGTCACAGAGCAGGATCCAAGAGATATAGTCCAGTCAGTCCAAATTTCAACATCAAACTAATTGCAACAAAATTTTTTTTTGCAAGAATAACGTAAAACTATATTTCATGAACAACATATCAAAAGTCTAGAAAAATCTAAGTATGGAAAATTACAAAAAAAATGTTCTTAAAAAGTAAATTTTGCCATTTTATAAGTGGTACATATAAGCCACCATATAATGTATGTTTGTCTCAGAAATTTGTTAGTGACCGGTGATACACACTGTTGAAGTACTGAGAAGAAAATAAACTGGTCATGGTAAGTTTCTTGCATCGTATTGTTTATTACATGTGCACAACGTATATTCTAGTTGATTTATAATGCTAAAACGTCCATAAATTATGCAAACAGATGATAAATCAGATTGTGTCATGCATTTTCTTGGCGGCAGATAGGCCTTGTGAGCTTTGCCCTAAATCAAAAAATACAAAAATATAATGCTTTTTTCGCAGATGGCAAACATGTAAACATAATGCTGAACTGTTTATCACACAAGTAGCCAACACAAAATGTGTGGCCAAGTCAGGAAGGAAATGGACTACAAAGACACAAACGTACTCCTATCTTTTCTACTAGAAAGAAATCCGTTTATCCAAGACCCCTCATTACGCAATATTGAAACCATTGTGGCATCTGATTCATCTGTAAATGTTTACAATGCAAAAGAAATTGGATCGAAAGTCTTACAAAAAATGGTTGGTAAAAATGTGATGGAGTATTCTTTCAAAAGATCCCAGCAAGCAGTGACACTTACTACAAAGCCTGTAGTAAAATTAGATGGCGGGTCAATACAGCTTGACCCCCAGCTACTTTTTCAATGTCTTACAACAGCTGCAACTAGATCATAAGAAGACATGTCACACATATTTGGATATGAACCTTGCAGTATTCCATCTGC